CACGTCTGATACATTTCACTTACGACGTTCAGAATTCCTGTTCTTCTTTCTTCAGTTTGAGATCATCATCTGATATATGTCTTCAGACAGCATCGAAGCATAGGCACTTGATGGCAAAAAAACGTTGTTTTTTTTCGAATACCCATTGTGACCGACTACCCGCCGTGATTTTTATATTTTTTGTCTATAACACACACATATATCAATTCATTAAAAATCTACCGACAAAACGTCTTTTGTAAAAATAGATATATCTGCTGTGTATATTTAATGAATTGATCAGCGTGTGTGTTATAGATAAAAAAATATAAAAATCACGGCGGGTAGTCGATCTCAATGGGTAATCGTGCCTATGCATCGAAGCATTCATCACGTTCACGTTGTTTCATGCCCTAATACAAAATTAAAAAGTCAACATTGATTGCTGCTAACCATCTTTCCTCCGGTAGCCCATTCGATATTATACAATTATTGACATCATTGAATATGATGTGATATTCACCGGCAGATGACATATTGACCGAGGCGATTTAGTGAGCCATTGAATATGATGTGATATTCACCGGCAGATGACATATTGACGGAGGAGTGAGCCATTGAATATGATGTGATATTCACCGGCAGATGACATATTGACGGAGATAGCCATTGAATATGATGTGATATTCACCGGCAGATGACATATTGACGGAGGCCTCCGTCAATATGTCATCTGCCGGTGAATATCACATCATATTCAATGGCTCACTAGTCAATAATTGTTTTATTATATGAATTTTTTTGACGTTCTTTTTTATGGGATTTTTTTCTTATATTTGGCGCAACAACATAGAGTTCTTTCTGTTTTCAAATCTACTATATAACTGACTAGGAACTTGTTTTTCGTTGATCTTCACAGTAATTATTGTCAAACTAACAGTTTTAAGTATATGTAGATTTATATGTATATGTTAGCTATAGGAATTCAGTTTTGCACAACATCTTTCTATTGACGAACAATCTCGTTGCAGATCTTCATGTTTGTTCATAGTGCAGTTCATACTGCATGCAAATAGGATTTCCCCTTTGGGGATAAATATGATGCTCATAACTTTTGTTGTTGATCTATTTCCTTTTTCCGTTCCGGTCTATATAGGTCGAACACCTAAAGAACGCAATAAATGTTGTTGGCGTATATTCATTAAATGCATAAGGTTTAAGACTCTTTTCTTAACTTTAATTTAGTTTTTTTTTCAAACAAATTGATAAAAATACGCTATTCTTCAAACACTGCGCAAACATATTTTTATGGATTGTCCTGAATAGCTTCATCTTGAGTAAGCGCAAACAGGTTTGCTATACAAAGTTTACAACTACACACAAAAAGGATTTTTCAGTACGGCATTTCATTTTTTCATCCGGCTGACACCAGTATTAATCATTAGATTTAGTCAGAATAATTAAAACATTGTAACATCAACAATAACAACAGCTTCTTTATAAAGTGGTTTTAACTAGCATTTCAATTTCTATTATGTATCTACATGTAGTTGTAAAATGAAAAGAGGACTTTTACAGTTTTGAAATGTCAAACATTATTTGATAGTAATAGGTAATTTGTTCATAACATAACATGACATATATTTTATTCAACATAAATTGTATACAAACAATTTACAGTCATACTGTGTGGTGTAAAGTTTTACATGTTACAGTAAGTTAGCCGAGAGTATAAACAAGGGTTACGACATATCTAACAAAGTTTTTTTTATACATGTAAGAAACTAAGAAGAAATATATTTATTAACGTTGCATTATATCGTTATCCACCAATTAAACACCAATTACATGTATTGATATTTCTAAGATGACATAGCCATTATATATACTAAGCATTTGTTGTCGTAGTTATCTCCCTTTTACCAGTCTTCATAAGAAAAAAGTGTTTATGGATACTAAGGGCCAACATCTAAATCTATGTCCTTTCTTTAAACTCAAAACACATAATTATAACTTGCCAGATTATTAATAGTTTTGATATTTGTGCTTGTCTTTAGTGCATTGTAGGCAATCTACAAAAAATATGGTTTAAAAAACTTTCTACGTAACTAGTAATATTTTAGCCATTTTAATAAGAAATGATATTCTGTTTCTACCAAATTTAACGGACAATTCCGATATTTTCTATTTTCTCTTGGAATATTATCGTGCCTTCCCTTTTCTATCTCCAGCTTGTGAGTCTGTTAGAATTATTGATGTTTGACTACCAATTTTGTTTGTAAATATCTAAAATTCTAAGTTTGATGATACATACATTTATATTTAAATTGTCTTGTTGTAGCCAGACGTTAGACATGCCAATTTGATTCAGTATATTTTTTGTTTGATAAGCCCAGTTTCTTTCCCTGTGTGATAGCTCATTATCTGCATCTTTTTAAAGCATGCTATACATTTTTTAAAAAATTGAGACATCAGGTGACTTAAGCATTTTAATCCAATATTTAAATTATAATTTTGATTATATTTACGAAAATTAATCCTTAAGATAATTAGAGGGGGGGGGGGGTACAATAACTCTCCCGGCCTATGCTTCGAATAGTCGAGCTTTAAAATAAGGATAATTTGAAACTAAAGAGAGCATTTCTAACTTGGATGTGTTAACATATATCTAGCTTGCATTTTCAAAAGAAACAAAATATACAAATGTTGTTTTACAATAAAATGCATGCGCGACTTTCTGGTTCAAAACTATGATTTTTTGGTCTTGGTTTTATTTCAGTGTTTATAGAAACAACCTTATTGCAAAAATCGCTAGACTCAACAAAATCAGCCACAATTATATTCACATCACCAAAACTAATGTCTTTATCCATTGCCCAGTATAAGATAGTCTTTGTAGCTGGCATTGACAACTTATGTTTCAGAGTGCCATGGAAATGTGTGTCTAGATAAGTCCTGGTGGGAGTCATCACGCCATTTTGACACAAGAACATGTGTGGCGATCGCCCATGTTGATATTTTGATTCTAGTTTCTCAAATAAATCTTTTGCTGATTGACTTTCTGTTATGACGTATTCAGTGCAATCGTTTGGCCACACAGATGAATATCCATATGTACACTAAAATAAAATAACGGCGACTTTTTAATTTGAAAGCAAGACGTGATAATAACAAATTGATTTCACTGAAAATCGGACCGTGCCTAATTCAAAACAGGGCATGTATATAATTCAACAGAGTTAAGGTTAGATATACATTCAAATAAGACATGCTTGCCGGACATTGTTTGAAAATATGTCACGAACAAGTATCTTATTTGATACAATTTCCCATTCTTAAAATACAGATAAACAGAACAAGAATACTAAACCGATATTTTTCTTTTATAATACTGCACGTTTGTAACGTCGCTTTTCATTGGATAATCGTGACGTTAATATAGTTTTATATCCACGACTGTTGTCGATTCATGAAGAAATCTTACTTTTTTCTCTAAAAAATAATGTTTGCTGTATTATAAATTCGTTATATAAAGATTGTTGACAGATTATAAGGCCGTATATAAACGGCTGTTTACAATATAACCCTCGCCTACCGGCTCGGGTTATATTTACAAACAGCCGTTTATATAGGGCCATATAACCTGTCAACAATCTTTATAACTAATAATATAGTTCCTTTTATGTACAAACAACTCTGATTAAAACATATCACAATATATAAGAGTATTATTTAATTAAAATAAAACAAGTATTAGAATTTCCAAAAATTCTAGGAATCGCCGTTCAGCCGAGTATTCATAAAAAATTGTCGTGAAATAGACTCCTTTCTGAACATTTGAGCTAAGACTACACCAAAATTTAACAACAAAATAGGTAGGATATATAGAGATAATTATTAAATCACTATGAGTTATATTTACCTCTTTCGGGTATATAACAATGATTTGCTTTGCTAACGACCACATATTCCTTAAAGTTATTCCCTTCACGTTACCTGTGTACGGCAACAATTTCTCTTCAAACAAATCTTGGGTAATGTTTGCCAGAAGGTACTTGTGATGCAATGGGCTCATTTTGTTCACAACCCGAAAGTCTATAATGATGACCTCTTGTGGATGCATTCCAATCCACACTTTGAATTCTTTTAGAGCTTGCAAGACGTTTGGACCGTTTCTTAGGTAAACGTTTTTATCCTCCTTTTCCTCGCCACGTGCTGTCACTCTTATATCAAAGTATCGGATACCAAGATTGAGTTGTTGTGTGAATGTGGTTGTTTGAGTAACAGTCCATCTGTAATAATGGATATAACATGAACCACAAATTTCTTCTTTATGTTTTTTATGTTGGTTATCCATGTAAATTGTTACTATACGTGCAGAGCAGACAAGGTCTTTCTGTATTGTATATGAAGGATATTCATGATAATAATGAAAAATTCTTCAACCTCAAAAATGTTAGTTGTGTGGGTTTTTTCATTCGATCATGTGTATTTTATTATTGTTATTGTTCTAGTCAGTATTGCCGAGGGGTCAATGGCATACCATTCAGAGCCTTACAGTACTTTATTTGTAATCTAATGCATTGTAGTGTGACGGAAATGTACCTTATAGTTAATTTGATTGCCTCTCCTTTTTTTTTAAGTTCGCCGTTTGCATAAAAAAAATACAGTTCATTCGTAGATTTAATTAGATAGGAAGAGTAGGATTTTTAGTTGTTTTTATCGTCAAATATATATAAGTTAAAAGAATCATCCAGTGTTTATATTTTGAATTGTTTCTTTACTCACATCAATTTTTATGTAAATTTACTTCAAGTGACAGACGCTGATAAGGTTTAGTAAAAGTCCGTTTCATGAAACGCTTTATTATTTTAGCCAATCAAAATGATTGTTTTTATTCACTGCGGGGATGATGCTTCACAAGCATATAAATTGAGCGTGTTCAGTGTAAAAAAAATCAGCACCCTTCTCACTTCCCCTCGGATCGTGCACGTCGCTAAGAAGGCACAAGGCAAGAAAAAAATATTTTTGAATATTTCAAATCAATTCGGATAAGTATCCCAAGAAAAATTATATATTTGCATTTGAGAATATTGTGATTTTATTTTGTAGCTATAGATTAAATAATCAACAGCTCGGTACACGCTACAGTAGTATATGATGATAAAAATACAATGTTACAATACTTAGGGAAAGTATCAACAATTATCACACTAAATGTCATAAGAAATTTCATTCTTTTCGGGAAGATTTTTATTTAAATTATACATTTATGCTTACACTATAGGATCCTGGCAGGTTTCTCGTGGTTTTCATTTAATTTCCATGTTTCTGGCAAATACATTTTAAATGTAAATCTGTGTTTAATAGTAACAACATCAATAAATAAATCTATGAATATATATATATATTTGTATTGCCAACGAACATAATGAGTTTTATTGTCTCTTAATGTTAACAAAATGTTTAACCTGTAAGATATTTCGCCTGCAAGCTCACCAAATTCCTCAACAAATTGTCTGTAAATTGGATCACTTGGACGGTCTATTCTTGCTTCCTTGTCCGTGTAGAAACTGAAGGAATGATGGCTTCCTGGTGACAAGAAAGATATAAATATTAGGATCAAATTTTTTATCGCGACTCTATGTAAAATGATTCAAACATATTTTATTGCTCTTTTTATACACATTTATAACAGTATGTTATCATTATATTTACCCAAAAGAATCAAAGGATTTAACCACGAGTTATTACAACATCAGCAAACGGTTCTTCATAAGTGTCACCTTGGCCTTGAAACTAGGGGTCTATGTCAAGTGCTCGACACATCGTCTTATCATACTTCATATTTGTACCAAGTTATCTTAAAATCCCTTAATGCATAACGAAGTTATGGGCCGGATAAGATTTTCGAACACATATTCTCGCAATCACGCAGACAGGGGTAACACTATATGCCCCCTCCCCCCTCCTTGTCATAATCATGGCGTGGGCATAGTAATATAAAAAGGAAGTATTTGATAATGCAATGTTTGCAACTAGAGGAAGCATGTTTATGTTAATTTGGAAAATACAGATCTTTCTTTACATTTCAAATTTTAATTAGGTTGAACAGGATTTAGTTTACTAAAATAGTTTTAGTTTATTTAAACCAATGTATGTATATAATAAGTATAATACAATATCCGATTTGTTAATCATCTCTACGCTGCACCAATAACAGACTGATATATTTTACTATATTCCAGTGACAAAAAATGTGCAAGCGACTCGGATATGACATTACAAAAACTGTTAATATAATAAATCGCAGAAAAAAAAATTGCTTCCAGAGAAGAAAGGTTTACCGAATATTGAAACGTTTCCCTATATTGACAGCTGAAAAACATAAAATTAACTAGAGAAAGGCTTATAATTATTTACTAAACTATCACAGTTAGTCACAGAAACATTTTTTTCACTTAGCAAAGACAGACGTATTGGATCTGCTGTCCTTAATGTACCATTAATAACAAGTGATCACTCCCGAATTTCGAAATCTAAAATTCAATGTAAATGATATACGTAAGTGCGAGCTATTGTCGTAAAAGGTTGAACAAGAAATAAAAAATATATACAGACCTGGTATGGCCAAAGAGTTTAAAGGGTGATCCCATAATACAGGTGGGAGCTTCGACATCCAATCTGGTCCCGCCTTTAATTTTTTCTCCATTTTTATAACACGTCTCCTTAATTATCAAATGAATTATCCATACCATTCTTAAATATGATTTGAATACATGTCAATATAATACTTGTTTGTATGTTTCGTATAACTGAAATGATTTCAAAACAATACTTTATAGTGTATGTTACTTGATCCAAAGAATGACCTGCTTTATATTCGTGTCACTATGTCACTTAGCAAATCTATACTTACCCTTATACCTTTATTAATTGGTTGTTTAATTATTCTTGAATGCCTAAAAATTATGTATGTGTAAATTTAGTATTTTCCCTTTGCACGTTGAAGAAAATATTTTCTTTTAAAAATACCGTATGCTTTTTATTTTTATCCAGTTCCTCAAAATAAAAAAAAAGAATAATTTATTAGAGAAATTTGGCAAAATTTGTCCTGCTTTAGCAATAACCGATATTGATTAACCTGAGCAATGGCCGATGTTGATAAACTTAGCAATGGTCGATGTTGAGTAGCTTAAACAATGGTCGATGTTGGTAAACTTAAACAATGGCAGATGTTGATTAACTTTATCAATGGTCGATGTTGGTTAACTTAATCAATGGTCGATGTTGGTTAACTTAAACAATGGTCGATGTTGGTAAACTTAAACAATGGCCGATGTTGATTAACTTTATCAATGGTCGATGTTGGTTAACTTAAACAATGGTCGATGTTGGTAAACTTAAACAATGGCCGATGTTGATTAACTTTTATCCAGTTCCTCAAAATAAAAAAAAAAAGAATAATTTAATAGAGAAAATTGGCAACAATTTGTCCTGCTTTAGCAATGACCGCTATTGATTAACCTGAGCAATGGCCGATGTTGATAAACTAAGCAATGGTCGATGTTGATTAACTTAAACAATGATCGATGTTGATTAACTAAATCAATGGTCGGTGATGATTAACTTAATCAATGGTCGATGTTGATTTACTTAAAAAATGGTCGATGTTGATTATCTTAATCAATGGTCGATGTTGGTTAACTTAAGCAATGGTCGATGTTGGTTTACTTAATTAATTGCCGGTGTTGATTAACTAAATCAATGGTCGATGTTGATTAACTTATGGTCGATGTTGATTAACTTAAACAATGGTCGATGTTGATTAACTTAAAAAATGGTCGATGTTGATTTACTTAATCAATAGTCGATGTTGATTTACTTCATAAATGGTCGATGTTGATTTACTTAATCAATGGTCGATGTTGATTAACTTAATAAAAGGTCGATGTTGATTTACTTAATCAATCAATGGTCGATGTTGATTAACTTAATAAAAGGTCGATGTTGATTTACTTAAATAATGTTCGACGTGGATTAACTTAAGCAATCGTCGATGTGGATTAACTTAAGCAATCGTCGGTGTTGATTACTTTAATCAATTTTATTCAAATTTTTGTCATATATTCTTTTCATAGTTGTCAAACAATTGACCAAGAAACTGGTCTTCAAAATTGCAGTCAAAGAGAATAAGATGACTTTTTTAACAAAGTTGTCTAGTGTGTTGTCATATGCAACAATATAATAATAAGCCAAACGTCTGTCACGTCAAAAAGAACCCAAATCAAGTCACTAAGACAAAATGACATTTTTATATTCAATTCTATACGTTAACATGATCTTACGCTATGAGTAGAATATGAGTTAAACACATAATCCAGTATTTTAATCAACAACAAATAAAACCAAATAATAACTCACTATTTATTGGTAACAATTCTATTTCTTATCACAAATTACCCTTTTCCTATATTGTTTGGTTATAAATGACAGTGTGTAACAAACTTATTTTGTAAAAAGAAATTACTTTATTATATTTGTTTCCTTTCCGGAGATTTTACCAACAAAAGCAAAACTGAAATAATTTCGCATTGAAAATCAATACATTTCTTTATTGGTATTGTTTTAGTACATTTAAGTCCATGCTAAATTTATTTCACATCTTTGTATCGCATCAGACCGCCGCCGAAAGGTTTTTGAAACGTCCGTAGTTTCAGTTTAAATAGGAAAATGTATCTAGACTTTTCAAACGTGACGGCGATATCGTCGGTTTTCATACTGTAAGAAACAGACGAGGGTTTATACGTTAAGTCGGTCACTTTTGTGACTCCTTTGTCTGAATTCAGACGATATACGCTCCCGGGCTTATTGAATGTTCTTCTCTCCAGGGCAAGCGTGTAAAGATATCCGTATTTGTCTACAATAATATCTGTTGTTTGAGCCTGAAGCTCAGTAAATTCTTCTACAACGCTGAAATCTCTGATGTCATATACGGTAACGCTATCAGCATTTGCAGCGTACAATCTACTCTTATCAATACCAAACGTAAGATAGTTTGGTGGCTCTATTATTCCGTCACGAACAACTCTTCTTACTTCACCATCAAGTCCGTAGATTTTAATATAGACACCTTCCCTGTCTGAACTACAGCCTACGTAAAGATTTTTATCAATGTTGTTGAAAGCAAGTCCTAAACATTCACCATAGTTCGATTCAAAATTTATCACTGGAATAACTCTCTCTATCTTTATAACCATGGTTGCACCAACGGTTACCATGTAGATGCATCCATTATCCGCGGTAAATGCGACAGAATGTGGTCCAGTCGCTGTTATATCAAAAGGCTTTGGGCGTTTTTCATCCCATTTGTTCTGTTTGGGAATCAGAAAACTGGCAACAGGTTTACGGGTATAGTCAGAACTAAAAACACGGATTTTAGAGTTTGTGAAATCTGTTACAACCAACTCTCCATTCGGAAGGAATGTAGATCCTTTTAGAGAACATTCCACATCGAATTTAATCGTCCCAATTTCTGTCAGTTCTGGGTAAGGTCCTTGATTCGGTGTTGTAAGGAATGTCTTGCTTATTACAGACACACTATGTCTGTTCAACTTCACATCCTTTGTGTGCCCAGATGCGCATTCATGACATAAACCTACTTTACAATCTTGGCAATAGTAAGCACCTTTGGTTTTTCGTCCTCTGCGTTGGCATGAGGTACAGTGTACATCCTTATAGCTGACCGTATCGGACAGACCATATTCTGACTCATTTTTTGATCCTGATGAGTTTTCCTGTATTAAATCTGTCAAGGTAGTTCCTGAAGCCATTTTCAACACGTAGCTATATTTTCGGCAAAATCAGTGTTACCAATACAGCTTTAAAACGCAATTGAACATCAATGAAAAGGAATAACTTTTACAAAGCATGTGAATAAACTAAAAAAATAAGTTAGCGCTTATTGTCAATCAAAAAACTATTCAACGGTATACTATTGCAAGTTGAACATCGAATAAAGAATGTTTAGAGTTAAAACTTTAATGTGTATAACGAGGTTAAATGATTTCTTCAATTGAAAGCACCTATTGTCTTTTAACGCCAGGTAAGTAGATAGTGACACTCGAACAATGACACACATTAAATTGTAACAGTGTACTAGTTATATTTACATATTTAAATATTCAATACAAATGTAAGAAGAACTACATACTTTGTTATTATAACCTATACATACAGTTACCTCGTTTCACACAATCAATACATTTACAATTTTGTCAAAGTCACGTGACTTAAAAGCAAAATACAGAAATTCAAGATGATATAAATTTAGGATTACATGTATTTTAATCATAAAAAGTATTTGATATTTGTTATAAAGCGTTTGATGTGCTATATGGTCGTGTATAAAAAGTTGTTACTTATATAATACTGGACCATATATTTTCTTCAAACTTCATTACTAAGAACGCATTAAGAATGCGCTGGGATTGAATTTAGATGTTTGCATCTTTGATTCTTAGTGCATTACTTCCAGTTCCTTTTACGTGTTAGCTTGAAAGCATTGCAACTCGTGTGATATTATACACTTAAAGAACTCTTAGTCATATTGCATTGCATTTACTTTATATTTATGGAAATCCTTTTGATATAGTAAGTATAATATATACAAAAGAAAGATAGCGTGTATATGATAGATATATTAAGTTAATAAGGCATTAAGTTTATACTAGATTTAAGTTTAAGATAAAGGTATTGTCATTTATATTCCAGAAGAAATCAGCCATATTCGAAGGTAAACTCTTGATTCTACAATTTCTGATGAAAAATTTACGGTTTTAAAATTTAAACATCAAAACTATCCAAGTGAAATGAAGCCCGCAATAAAACATTTTAGCGATCGTCTTTGTTCAGAAATTTTCCTCCTTGTCCACTTTCAAAAGTCCTGTTTGGGGGAAATACTTAAATAAAGCGTTCAGTTGTTCCCATTCTCATCCTTTTTGTACTGATCGTATATGTAATGTAAAATTTGTTCTGTTCTTGCATATCAGACAGCATTATCTACTGTTTACACCACTGCTAGAAAAACCTTTTTTACACCCCCATGTAAGACAAGTCGCGGGTTCTAAAGAACGTCAAAAACGACAAACTTGAAAAAGGAGCATTGAACCAAACTCCTGCCCCTGGTGTGTCCTTTCGGTCAGAAATGAGAAATAATTTGTGCACACAAAACAACTTTTAAAGTCATCATATTATAAACAGACAAGCGGAACATATGCAATTGATACAATTAAAATATGACCAACTTAAAATGGGACACTTAAAAAAATTGAAGATCTATTTTCTAGACTTCAACGGATTTTGTGTAATTCCGTACCGGGTTGACATCATATATTGCGTATTAAATAAAATATAATTCTTTACATAATTTCTAGTTCACGTTCATTGTATGAAATAAGTAAGTTTTATGTCACGCCGACTGTATTCTTGTAGTGCCTGACCCATCCCACAAAATACCGGCATTTTTATTTAATACACGTGCAGAAGCAGCAGCTATGCTTGAGCTTGATGAACAGCTATATCATAAAGAAACTAAACTCGAACCATCATACACAGTTATCTTACCCAGTTATTGGTAGAGATGAGCAGGGGTATATAGTATAAACCATTCAGTATTAAATGTGAAACTACTTTAGATGTTTAAAGAGTTTATAAATCGTATTATTATAATAATTGGACAGGTAGTCAACCAATCGGATAGATGACGTTCAGTCAACCATAAAATGTTGGAAATTCCCGTCTTATATCCACACAATTTTCGCAAAATGGTGCGTGCATAAACGTCAGGGGGCACATTTTGGTCTTTGGGAAACTTAATTCTGGTATAGACGTAGGCGTCGTAATATTGATAATAAGGTAAATAAATGTTACTTTAAAATGTTTGTTTTTATGAATTTATTGTGTTTTCAATATTTGCGTATACGAAAATGATCTAAATGAGTATGTATATACATGTATAAGATAAAGTTGTTACAGATAATCTAAAGTTCGCAGCTGTATTTTTATTCTAAGCGATGCAATTTACAAGAGTGAGTGTATAAATGTACTTGGAACACACAATGTCACCTTGTCCCATTGTTAACGGCACATTATGCCTTAAACATTTTTTTCTCTTTCCGTAGAAAGGGCAAACATGCCTTTGACAATGTTATGATACAATAGATTTAGAACATATATATGAGATGCTTGTGCACCTTAAGGAAATAGGGCTGTATTCAAATAGTTGTGTTAAAGGTAGAAAAATGTAATTAAAACAGTATTTTTACCTCCATACAAAACACTATAACATAACGCAAAAGAAACAAAAGATAGCAGAGCAATATGGTCAATAAGTATCAATTTGGAAACTAATAGGACGAAAGATCGAGAAAGCTTTTAGAAAACAAATATAATAGCACATTGGCCCTTTTACATAGATTATTCATTAATTATATGATTTTCTTTATAGTGTTAATTGATTTAACATTTATTAAATTGAAGAAACACACGTCTGTGGAATTATAGGCGAATATCATATTAAAATTTCCAAAAAGTCTTCAAAAATTTATAACTATTTTGGTCTAATTATTAAAGTTATTCATGTGCATCTCCACTTGATTACATCAAAACATCTTCTATACTTATGCAACATGAAAAAACTTCTCTAGAATTAGGAGTTATACAATATATAGCATGTACAAATGTCAATACTTCTCCAATACTCCTCCAATATCATATTCGTTCTATTTGGTCCAATTTTTCTTGTTAAATTGGGCCGGGGACATATACGTGGTGATTTTTATGTTGTTATTATTCTTAAAGCTGCATACCACCAGATGAGTCAAAATATTTCATTAAAATCAAACTTGAAAAATATGTACTACGATTTTAGGAAAAGCAAAATGATTCAAGATTCAAGTAATATTTTACATGTTATGTGCGGTTAATGACTGATTTGTCAGTATTAACAACTATATTTCTATTGTGTTACTTTTTGACCAATTTTTTGGTAATTTACGTGTGTTGTAAGTGCCATTGATCATGCGCAAATTGCTTCCTTTTGGTTATTTCACAATATCATACATTCAAAAACATTTTCAAATTTTTCATGAAAATTAGCGTGAATTTTTTTTATATTATATTATATTAAATATTATATTATATTATATTATATTATATTATATTATATTATATATATTATATTATATTATATTAAATATTATATTATATTATATTATATTATATTATATTATATTATATTATATTATATTATATTATATTATATTATATTATATTATATTATATTATATTATATTATATTATATTATATTATATTATATTATATTATATTATATTATATTATATTATATTATATATATTTATATTATATTATATTATATTATATTATATTATATTATATTATATTATATTATATTATATTATATTATATTATATATATTATATTATATTATATTATTCTTTGTATACATGTTTCTACAGAAAACATGAAAATTTCACAAAACTTTAAAACATTTAAAAAAAGTTTAGACAAATGATTTATTTTGCTCGAATGGACAAGTTTTAAAACTTTCCTTTTCCTCAAACTATTTTTGTACCATTCGGATTTACCACAACCTAATTCAAAGGAGAGCTTACATGCTCATTAAGTTATAAAAAAAATTTTTATTATCGTATTGTTGATATTCTGTTACAGTTTCCGAAACGATACTCAGTACCATCTAGCTTTTCGGCCACTTATAATGTGACTCAGTAATTTGTATGAAGTCAAAACTTTTTGCTACATTTAAAGACAAACTTATTCACATTCAACGATGCTTTGTACACGTGATAATCATTTATTGAGCTCTTTATCCATATTAAAAAAATACAAAATAAAGTTTTGTCTTTTCTTTACAGGAAAAATCGAATTCATTTCTGAAACTTAATTTGCTTTCAGCAGGACGGACATTTATTTTTTTTATCTTTTTTTTGTTTTTGTTGTTCCTGTTTTGTACATAGTAACACAATATATAGATACTAAGTGTGAAAATTACAATTTAATAGCACACACACACATACACGCACACACGCATGCGCGCTAATGCATACTTGATTTCATAATTGTTGCAGTGCAGGATACACTATATAATTATGATTACATAAATAACCATTTATTCTTGTGCTAAATACATTAATTAATGTTAACGTCTACCACTCGATTACTTAACAAGCAAAATATTAATAAAATAATACAAAAAAACTGATATGAGATAAACACCTAAGTACGTTTGAACAAGTTTAAGATTATATTTAACACCTGTTATTTTCGGGTATTCGGTACTTTTTTGAAATTGTTATAGTCCGAAAGACTTTTTGCACCGTTTCAACTGTCAACACTCCTTAATCATTTAAAGTTTTCTTAGAAATTAACCTAACCATTCTTCCTTTACCTAATTTTGAACATATTAAGCTCTAAAATATATAATGAATGGGAAATAGAATTTCACCAAAACTGTTCAGGCATTTTATCAATGACATAATAAAAGGTATGATATGAAATTTCAATTAAAATGTGAAAAGAAGATTTCAAATTTGTTAACTTTGAATAGAGTGAATAAAATTTTCGACTAATGACAATCAACAGGGAAGTTAAAACTCTAGTAACTAATAGACCAATAGAATACACTCACTATTCATTCTTACGAACCAGTAAATTAACGTAACATCAGCTCATTTCATATACGCAGTTAAACTATAAATATAAGCATTGAAATATCTAAAACATTTTAATAGCAGTGACACGTGTTTTTTTTTAGATTTTTGCCCAGGTCGCGCATAGATTTCTTGATATTATTTTTATTATTATTTATTATTATTATTATTATTATTATTTTCATCATCACTATCATCATCATCATTATTATTACTGTATCATTATTATTATTATAATAATTATTGAAAAGATATTAGAGTTATAAAACTTGTTTTTAAGAGCACTTACAATTTGTTTAATATAGGTCAAACATTAAGCCATCTTAGTGAGTATACCTTTCTAAAAAATTCCTTAACTCAAGCACCTAAAGCAAATCGTCATCTCAGTCTGTTTCAACTTCATACAAGATGGGTTGAAATTCGCACCTGATAATTTAATAGAAGTATTGTTAATCTTTAACCCCCGGACCCAAAAATGATTAGCCTTTGGCACAAGTCAAACCAGGTTGAACACGTGCAGTCTGACCAGGTTCTATACTGGTGGCTGTTTATCTTGATATCCCAACTCGTATACCTGTCATCATAGTTATTCATTGAAAGAAGTATTTAAGTAGAATAAATGAAGACTAAAATGACAGTTTAAAATGAAACCTACTACATTATACAAAAGTAGAAAATATTTTATCACAAAAGATTATTGTTGAGTATCATATTTCAAGGAGAACGCTAGGTAATGATCACAATTGTAAAATATATTTATGCAAATAACCATGTTATATACATTAAAGCTTGAGATCGTTTTAAATGAAAGTACTAATATCAATGTTAGCATTAAAAATGTAAAATAAACATTTATACAGTGGCACAGGGGTGACATGTGTGTGTTTTTATTTATCTCGTGCGCACGAGATAATTAAATCGTGTGTATGAGCTACTAAATCGTGTGCACGAGATAATTAACTCGTGTGTACGAGCTACTTTGTGGTGCCAACGAGATAATTAACCAATCAGGTTACATTAAATATATGAATTTTACAAACTTGTATATAATTCCTGGTTAAAGTTTTATATCCAACACTACTGAAGGTTGTACTTCAAACTTGATGCAAGTCTTTAGGAATATATTAGGAGGTCACAATCCAAGGCCGATAAATCAGACATTCATTTTGACTAAGTTCTGATAATTATAAGTTTTTATGCTCCCACCTAAAAGTGGAGACAATCATGTGATTGGGTTGTTAAGTACGTACGTACAAACGGTCTGTTAACGTTGTGCATACGATAACTTGAGAAGAAATATGTCCTGCTTAATTTTATTTGGTAGGGACATTGTCCATAGCCATTATGACCTATATTGATGTTTGAAGTCATAATGTCAAAGGTCAAGGAAACCATGACACTTCATGTAAAATCCTAGTCTGATAAATAACTTGAGAAGGTATTAGCCATGGTTTATATCACCTAGTAAGTGCATTGCACCTGATCAGTAGATTACACCTAATGTTTTTGGTCAAAGATCAGGGCCCAGTGACGCTTTATTAAAAATCCTTCAATCAGTAACTTGAGAAGAAATAAGCCATGCGTTTTTTAACTTGATAGGGACATGTCCCAAAGTCCCTTGATGACCAGTAGAAAATCTCTATTGATTTTGATTATTAGGTCAAAGGTCAAAGACCTTAATGTAAAATTCTTGTCGAAACAATAACTCGAGAATAGATAAGCCATTGTTTATGTTACTTGGTACTAATATTGCTCATGGCGATCTGATTTACTAGTTATGTTGTGCGCACGACTAAATTATCTCGTGCGCACCACTTAGTCAATCCTGAGCACCACATATTGTCTCTTGCGTACAACTTAATTATCTCGTGCTCATGACTTGGTAACTCTTACGCACGACTTAGTAACTAGTTCGCACGATTTGTTATCTAGTGCGCACGAGATACTAAGTCGTGCGCACAAATTATTAAAACACACACATGTCACCTCTGTACCATCGAACATAAAAGTAAAAAAGAGATTTTTGCTTAAATTGCATTGGTGAAATGTTGACTTGAAATACTGGATCAACAAACATTTGAAATGAGGGATTTTTTTCCTTGAAATAATCTGCAGTGGTAATGCACCAACCATTTCTATCATCAACAACGGAGACTTCTGGCCCCTTCCCCGGTTAAGACCTGCATGGGATTGTACCCGGGGTTACAATTGGCTGATAACATTATTTTTTATTATGTTTAAGGAGGTTGCTCAACTGAAGCCGCGTTCTATATTTTATATACAGTATGTTTTAAAATTAACGCTTAACCTTATCCTTTACCAGAAAAAACATTTTGACCACATGTAACCTAAATTCCTGTGGTAACTCAAGGATTTGTGGTAAACAAAATTTAAAAGGACACGATGAAGTTGTGTTAAAAAGATATTATCTTAACAACAATTTCTATGGTATTGTCATATCTGATCTTGCAATACATAATAATAGTTATTGCGTTTTAAGTATATCTTATGTCTTTGATCTGTAACCTACATTAGATAATCTGATTGCTGTATTGTTATAATAATTTTCAAATTATCTACTTGTGACAGCTTTGACAAGGTTAACTAAGTTCAGCTAGGAACGTCTACATGTCTATTGAAGAATAAACAACAAACCGGGAAGTAAATAAATTGGTCTGTCATGTTTTACGTATATTACATTGCCTAAAATCTAATGCGGTTAGTTTAACTGCCTGCAAATATATCGCATATTTTTTTGTTAACGAAATGTTCGAGGAGCTGTTTGTAATTTTCCGGCATTGCATTTTCATATGATATTGTCTTTTCCCCCCTCGGTATTGTATTGCTGGCTTTAAGAATATAATTCACTGTCTTATGAATTAGTCAAGTAATAGAAAAGAGCACCGAAACACGAGGTTATCTGATTTGTACGAGGGGGCGTGGCCCCCGAGTATTAATCAGATTACCGAGTGTTTTGGTGTTCTTTCTCTTTTGTATCATAGTCAAACATAAAAACACGTTCCCTGTTGTCACAATATGAAACCCCGGAAAAATGAACCAATGAACGAACATCTGAATATGATATTTCTGTCGCTTTCCCTTTCTCTGCCGTCACAATTTGTAAACCTCAGCAAAAATGAGCCAATCAATGAGCATGCTCTGGAGTGCGGGTAACTAATACCCGCACTCCAGTTAACGCACTGTGCATGTATATGTATACGATTTAGCCCTGACACATTTTCAACAGAAAGGTCTCCAAACTATGATACAGAACATAAATATACCGTCAGATAAGGACGATGTGAAAAGCAATGATTATTATTATTATTATTTACAAAAAAAACGTACATCAAAATTGTTTGTATGGTTATATTTATTGTACAATATGTATCACAAAAAGAAAATGATGCAAAAAAGAATATAACAAAATAAAACAAAATAAAATCTTACTATGCACAAAGGTGATTAAAGATAGGAGAAAACACTATAAAACACAAGACTAAACTAGCTATACATGAGATCCCGAAATCTTGTGTGTTTTGTCTTTTGAAAAGAAAACAGCACCTGAAAAAAATCTCATTCAGACATGCATCGAATACAAACAAGTACCCGCGATCTTCAGTAACACGCTGCACATAGAATACAAACAAGAACCCGTGATCTTCCGTCACACACCGACACAAAGAATACACACAAGTATCCGGGATCTTCAATCACACACTGACACACAGATACACACAAATTCCTGGGATCTTCCGTTACACGCTGATACACAGAAAACACACAAGTACCGGGATCTTCAATAACACACTGACACACAGAAAACACTAGTACTCGGGATCTTCCGTCACGCTAACACACAAAATACATTCTTATACCCGGGATCTTCCATCACACGCTGACACACAGAATACAGACAAGTTTCTGGGTTCTCCGTCACATGCTGACACACAGAATACACACAATTACCGGGATCTTCAATAACACACTGACCCACAAAATACACACTAGTACCCAGGATCTTCCATCACACGCTGATATACAGAATACACACTAGTACCCGGGATCTTCTAACACACGCTGACACACAGAACGACAAAACAAGACTTAATTAGTGTTGTTAGTGTCATTAAAATAAATTGCTTCTGAATCATTCATTTCTCTTAAAATTGTAGATAAAATGGGAAATCATTTTTCACAACAGAAGAAGAAAGGTAACATTTCTAGCAGTAGACAGGTATGTTGGAGGTTTTGTAAATGTTTAAGCTAGTAATTTATCAAATAGTTCTTGTGTATTCCTATTCATGAAAATAAAGAAAACAGCAAGTTTTTGACAGGAACATACACACATTCCTCTAATGATTCAAATAGCGTCAAAGAATCTAAAACTAGTTGGTCCATTACAACAATGTACCAATTTAATCGAAACTTGTGCTCAGAAGTCCGAGGTTGCCTTTTCACTATTGGACTTAAGAAATGAAATCTCTTAAATAAATTCAATGATTCTTGCAAATATGACTGAAAAATAGTTTTCCCTACTACACTTAATGGCTTTGAAATAGGGAATAGCATGGCATTGAATGATTTAAGTATTGTAGAAATGTTTTTAAGATTCTGTGCCAAACAAGTCAACGAACAAGAACGGACATCGCATTAAGTATGCTTGGTTGGCCTTCAGTGTGGTCAAATATTGTCAAAAGAAAATTACGTTTACTCGAAAAACTATAAACAACGCAAATACATCTACTGGCAAAACAAATTTTCGATCTTAGATTTGCTATAAATGGAAATTCCATTATTCAGAAAGAATTTATACCTGATATTTTTAGAATTCTAAGAAAATATAATTTTACAGATTACTTCAATATACAACTATGCAAAAATTTCTTCTAAATGGGTGTAGAAAATGATAGTTAGGACTATTTGTAAATGTGTGTATATATTACGATGCATGTCATAAATTCATGTGCTTAACCTATGTTTAAACATGACCTATATTTACTATGTTTGAATTATTGTATAAAATGTAATGACTGTGTAAAGATAATTTTCTATTCAATTTAAAATCTATGGAAAGGGGAAATAAAGTGTAATAAAAGAGAGGAGAATTAATTTTGAATACCGTTATAAATTTCAGCTGAGGGCCAGTCGCTACCAGCAATGTCAAGATTATGGTGTCAGTGTCATAAGCGGTTGGGATCCTGCATCGTTACAAGGTGTTAGAAATGTTACCCATGACATAGAGGAGATTCCTAATGAAATTCCTGATATTAAAGAGAATCCCCCTGTAAGTCGATGTATATTCAGTTTTCTTTGTTATTTTCTAAAAATGAAGACTCAAACGCTGGTCTTATTTTCTTCAAATGATGATAATGTTCAGGTATATACAGTTTAAAAGAGTAATCATTTCACTGCAACATTTACCATATCACGATTTCAACATAAATCTAGTCAGAATTTATATGATTTTTACCAATGTACTAATTTTGGCATTTTATAAGGTCATACCATTTCTGAGAGAAATCAAATTCTCGTAAAACTGGTAAAACTGTGAAAGAGATACGCTGAGCGTAAAAAAATATTTCATTATGTCCCAGGTTTAAAGAATATGTGAAATCAACAGCACCAGACTGTCTCACCAAAGCATTTACTAGTGAAATATTAACACATTAAAATTATTTAATTTTAAATGCATACACTGTGCATACAAAAACCTTAATACACTAACTTTTTCACTTTTGTTTCATACATGATATTTCAGTCACCATGCCCGACCTTTCCTCGTAGACTTCAAAGCGGTCAGTCGGCAACATTAAAGGTAAACTAGATAAATACATTGTTTATGGATCACCTGATTTTCATGGCGGATTTACATAATTGGCGTCCGCGCCGAAGCGCGGCGCCTTTTATGGAATGAAATCAGATTTTGTGAAAGGGCGACATCAACTTCTCGAGCCTTTTATACTCTTATAATGAGCAGCAACATATATCTCTACTGTACCCTTGTTCATCAATTTATGTACACATTTCTGATTTTAAACCAAGGTCTATTTACTTCTACAAATTTAATGTTGCATTTCATTCACACATATTATAAAAGTCGATTAATCTATAACACATTTTAAAATAACTCGTTATTTCTTCACATTATAATGTCAGATTTTGATCTTCTCTTCAATAATTTCGTCTGATACATAAAATATTCAAGCGTAATCATTTACCAATCTCCATGCGGTGATCTCCCCTTAATTATTCGATTTCTGTACAGATCAGGGGAGGTAGTGATGCAACATAATTACGATAATCTTTTCTCTTGTTTATAGAATTCTTACGAAAACCCAGACTATTTAACAACACTGGAAGTTCTAAATGTAAGAGATCATCATCAAAGCGAACAGTCTATGTCTAGAACCGACATAAATGGAATAAAAGGCACATGCACAGGATTGGCAAATGATGGCGGAGAAGCTGAGACCAATGACAATGTATGTTTCACGACAAATTAGTTTATGCAAATTTATTTTGGTTCGATTGTCTTGGAAGCTTTCAGCTTATTATTACACTCTCGAATCCGTTCCTGGAACCAGCCAGTGGTAAGCAATGAATGTAAAGTTTCTCGGTCAAGGAAACAATGGCTTGCCCCTGACAGCATTTGAACAATCCTTAGATTACTAATCGCATTAATAACTCGGCCACGCCGCCAACATAACTTCACAAATTGCAATCAAAACCGTTGTACTTGGGATGAGGGTGCTTTATTTGTTTTCATCGTTTAAGCTCATCCTGCTATTTGATAACTATTGGTACATTAATGAAATGATTGAGTATGCCTGGTAATGAAAAAAATATAAACCAGATATAAGTGAAAACTTTTTAAGAGGTCAAATGCAGATTATTTTCTAGGCCATTTGCACATAAATTAATAAAAATAGAAATTATCCTTTATAATAATTATGACAAAATGGCAAATTTGGAAAGCAACATTAGTATTTGATAGTGCAGTAAAAACCCTCTATTAAGACCACCAGCGGACAGAACCAAAGTGCAGGATTGGTCTAATAAGTGGATATTTATTATCAGTGCATTTTTATAACCATATTCTTTTTTTCTCCTGTTAAAACAACATGTATTATAACCTTCAGATACTACTGTGAAAATGATTGCATAATGATTATTCTTTTGAGAGCTGAGCACAACACTGGAGAAATTTGATATTAAAAAATTAATTCTAATATGTCTTGTTTCAATAAATGTGCTGATGGTAACAAAACTATACTGAAATGATTTTTTCTTACCGAAACGTATACAATATTCCAAAAATAACATTTTTTAAACATTGTTCCATCAACTTTCATGCGTAAGAGCATCCAAGCAGAAACACGGCAGTCAACCGCATTTAATTTACCAAAACACAGTTCTGCCATCCCATTGTTCCTAGGCAGGCTGTCAAACAGCTTATTATTCATCACGTTCATATTCTTTTTTTTTTGTAAAAGAGAAATGCTATTTTAAATATCTTTTATTTCTACAGATGTCTTTAAGCGATGATGTTGATGTGTATGCTACAATTCATCCAAAGCCATCTGTACGAAAGGTAACTATAGTTTCGTAATTGTTTTAACTGAGTAAATGTATACAATGGAAAGAATTATCACATTGGAAGTTCTTTGATCACCGCTGTATCTCACCTTGATCTCACATTTGGATGATTCTTAATTAAAAATGAAGACTTCAGGTCAAGCTGGTGTCGAGAGAACTGTCTGTATGTTGCACCAACTACCACTTCATCAAACGGAGATTACAAGTTTCAATTTGGCCATGTTTGTCGGCTTTTAAGGTTTTTTTATTTGACTTTGATTTAGAATGAGAATGAAATCACTGTTTAAAAGTGAACTCTTATTTTTCTTTATATCGTTTGAAAATAACTAGTTTTGTACATTATTTTTTCATATAAAATTTTTAATGAGCAGACATTTAGCCCCTGATGCTAGTTAAAAAAGAGTAACCGCCTACTGATACTTAGCTGATAAAATGATACACACGAATACAAACGCTGACATATATAAAGCACGACATAAATACTAGAATTGACAATGAATCATGAATAAATTAACCGAATAAGTATTAATATACTAGTGCATATTAAATTTTAGACATAGAATTTGTATAATTATCTCTACATGTGTTATTTATATTTTAGCCACATGCAGTCGCACTTGCTGACGAGCATACAATAGGATGGGATAATCCTGAATACTTCCGGGTAAGTTAACACATGACCTCTCATGCTATTTGCACTACCCGTTTAACAGGATCATGTTAGTGAGATTTTGTGCACCATTAACATGTTTAAACACCCCAGAAAAGACTTTGCGGCTATCGTTCCAAGGCGGTGCCCCTATAAGTTTCATAAGATGTATGTATTGTTTATTACTACATTCTATTGTGATATAATTTGTTGTGTCCTTTCTTATTTTTGTCCCAAACTATCCTCTTTACCCTAGTTTGCCACCACGATCAACCCCACCCCTCCCCGGTCCTCTGGTTTCTTTCCCATACACCCCTATTCGTGTATGCCTTTTGTCAAAGATTGTCAGTTATTATACAATTTACAACAGTTATTATACAACAGTTTTTATACAATTTATCTATGATTCCACACGTTGAATTGATATTGAAATTAATATAATATGTTAGATCATTTAAACATAGTTGATTCGTATGCAATTGATATATTTTCCAAAAGTATTTCAAATATTGATTAAAACTCAAGGAATGTATCATTTGGAGATATTCTTATGAAACATATTTGTTGAAAATGTCCATAGTGATTTAGTATGATTATTCATATGAATAATACATACACATGTTAACATGTTCTACATTTTAAACTGCTGTATGTTTTTGTCTTATCGAATCATGTATCTCATCCTCGCCATCAATATCCATATTCAATTCTTTCTTGGTTTGTTGTCGCCTATGATATTTTATGCAAACAACATTATAAGTCATGATATTAAAGACCTTCCATTATGGACTATATCACTTTTAAATTTATTTCTTTTATTGTGTTATTAGAGGGGGTCATTCCCAAGGATGAGTGAACGAACAAATTCATCCAAAGATTCGGCGTTTACAGCAGACACTTCTGCGAGTGGACACACTAGTTCTAAGGATTACATGCGTGTAAATTGCAGCGTGTGTCGACCTCAACAAATTGAGTTCATGGTAGACGTTTACAAGAAAAGATTACAAATGGATCTGCGCGTTGAGGACCTCTTAAAAGATATTCACTGTATTGGTAAAGAATTTCTATACGAATTATTCTGATTTATAGGGAATCATTTACGAGATCTAGTATAAATGAGTATATATCTTATACTAATAATCGTATGGTATATGAACGTGTCAATAGCTTTAACTGATGAGCATTCCTCTGTGAATGGAACGTCTGAGAATTATTATTTCATTTGAATGATTTTCGTCTGATTTAACTGTTAATATATATCTTTTATAATTCATACTTGTTTTGAATTTAATTTTGATAAGACTTTTTATTACACATTTAAAATAAGAAGTTGGAGAGTAGTTGCTAAAATTGACAAAAGCGCTTCTCATTTTCGCTAATATTTGGCAGCTTCTGGCGAAATGGTTTCTTAATTTTTTTATGTCTAAAACAAATATTTTATCATTTTCCCTAGACGATGTTTACAAAGAAGAAATAGAGAGAAGATCAAAAGAATCACGGCAAGCAGCTGTACTGGTTGGGGACCACAAAAACCGGACAACCACTAAATCCGGACGGCCCCGAAAATGCTTAATTTAGTATTTTCTTTGTTCGGTGGTTGTCAGTCACTTTTTATCAACAATAAGTGCATGTTTCTTTTAAAATTAAGTAAATAAATGTATTTCAACCTCCGTAAATGGTAATATTTTAATTTATATTTCAAGAATGTTGACGTTGAAATTCGGGGGTAAAGAAAGCAATGCCTGACCTCAATTACCAGCTATAATCATTCGCAGAGTGAATAATAGAATATCCAAAAGTTCAGCATTTGTTGCTGACATACTGTATATCATGTTACAAATCAAAAATCAAAACACCCAAGCTTTTATCTGAATTAAATCATATCATGCACATAGCTGTCCGGACACATGGTACTGTAGTGTTGACAATTTAGGTAATTTTGATACCCTCCTTGTCGAGCCTCAGATGAAAGTGTCATTACAATCAGAAATAAACAAACTAGTTTGTTAGTTAGGAGAAGAACCTAGCTGAACTGTGTCAAATTTTTTGGTCTCTAGGTTAAAAATTATGAACTCTGTACTGGCAAATGTTCCAAAAGTGTCCGGTTGATGGTCTCCGACCAGTAGACATGTTACTTGGACATATCAGACACTCACCTGAACAAGGGAAATGGCAGAACTTTATAGAAGCTTTGGATAATAATGGTCGGTATCATAAAAAGATACTTAATTAGATATACAAATATCTGATGATACACAATTATAGCATTTAATTGCTGCTTAAACAGACCTTGGTTCTCTGGAAGTGTTAATCATACAATATCAAATTTCGAAATCCTGTGACAAATTTAGTTCATCACAATTTTGTTTCTGTCAGTCGTGCTCAAACGCCGTATGTTCATTAATTGAAATAGATAATTACTTGTGACATAAAGTGATTAATAAATACTCGTAGTGTCCGGTAGCACTCACCTTGAAGAAAGTGCCCATCGCTATAGTAACTATAGTAATTTCTACCATAAGTATAAATAAACAAATGGTGCTTAAAATCTGCATATACGAGTGTCTTATGATGCACCTTGACCTTCAATGTAACATATATTCAAAACTTTACTTGATTACGTAAGAAAAATTGAACCTTCCTTTTTCAGATAATATTGAAAAGAGGACATTGAAACTAATGTGTTATTTTATCTAAGTTTTTTCTATGTCTACAGGTTATAGTGCGATCGTCCAGCTGCTTAACTCAGAGACAGAAAATGATACAGAAGATAAAAGAAAATTACTTGCTCTTATGTCAAGACAGCTTGTCTACAACATCCATGTTGATGAATTTTTAGATTTGCTGTTTGAGGCAGAACTATTGAATGAAGCAGACAAAGAGATTGTTGAATCAGAGAAAAGGAACAACGGTCTTTTAGCGGCTGCTCATAAAATATTTAACATTATACCAACAAAATCTCATGAGTGGGTGCAACGGTTACCAGACATACTGAAAAAGTGTGGCCTGGGAGATGTTGCTGAGTTATTGTCGTTTTTAGAGGATCGTCAGATGTCACCCGTAACAGGTATGGACTACCGACGTTTTATTATTTCCTTTCCATTAATCTTTATGCAGATAATGTCTTATTTTCAAAGTATTGAAATCTCGAAATAAACACAAGCTGTCGTAATATTTCATAATAAACAGATGTATTTCAGCTATATGTATATCTTTCTTTTAAAGACGAGACTGATCTGAAGAAAGTTAAATGCAACCACAAGAAGTTTCACCACGAGGCTAATCACCATAGCAACAGTAGATATCGTCATGAAATGCATTACGAAACAATTCATAACAGAGTAAGCAGCACATATGATATGTGTAAAACTACCAGAGTTATAAATGAACTTGGACACCATATAAAAGTAATTGAGGGAAAGGCCGATTTGCACAGCTGTGCTTTAAAGGAATTGACCATTGCTCAACAAAAGGACATTAATGAATTAAAGCGTAATTTCACTGATCTAACAAACATGGTACATCATCTTAGAAATCAAGATTTTGATATCGAAAAAGAACTAAAATGTCAAAGAGCTCTTATTAAAAATATGGAACAAATGCACCGGCAAGAATTCAATGATTTGAAAAAGTCTTTGAGCGAAATAAGATCTTTAATCTCTGACCTGACAAAAGTAGTTTCTCCATCCCCACCAGAAGCTTGCAAGATTGCAATAAATGGATGCACCGCTGATAGCGGGTTTTCTGGTGGGTTGGGTTCAATACCCGAAGATGATTTTGACAGCGAAATAAACTCAGAGTTCGGTTTACTTGGATTAGAGGAAAACTGCACAAAATTATAAAATGTAATTAAGGCATTTTTATCTAAAGTGCTGAAAATATTAAGACCGATTGTGCTTAATAATAATAATATGGTCTAATAATAAAGCTGTCTGTTTTTCTTCTCATTTTTTAGAATACTGAGTTATTTTGTTCAATATAACAGCAATCTATATAAAACACATTATCTGCCTTGTACCAGTACTTAACCGTATTTGGAGTGGTGCAAAACAATGTTATAAAGGCATATAATAACTTATAAGAAATATTAACCTGTAAGTAAAGAAAACATATAAATGACACACCTCTCTATCGATCTTGAAAGGAGAGATTCTATATTTGTGAATACATGTATATTAATTGATTTAAATTAAATTTCTTAAAAATGTATTTGTTTTTAACTATTTTACTAACATGTTTGTATTAAAAGACTAATGATACATGTCAAAGGAAAACAAAAATAATATTTCAGTTTTGAACAGGAATCAGGTTCATTTCACTCCAGCTTTTTTATGCTCATTTGAAATCATGCTAAAGTTGGGTTGTTTCTGTATACTGTGATATGTTATGAATTTTATAAAATCAAAGTATAATAAAGAAGATGAGTTCAATTACTGAAATAAATCTATCTTATTCGATGTTTGTTTGTTTTTCTTTAAACCTCCAAATGATATTTTTTTTATCAAAGTCACATATTTTCAGCGTATATATTAATAAAGCATAAAATATCAATATAAAAAGATTGGTTTTAATTATTGATACAAACTTGTCTGTTAGAAAGGTAACATATGTTTAGTAATTACTTGTGATGAATTAACAATATGAATTGTTTCTTAAATTTATACATGGTGAAAAGTGTAAAGGCAACACTTTTATTGAAAAGTTTAAACTAGATAACTTGTTTTCAATTTATGTTATTATTGATTATTGCTCGGATGTAATGCATTGTTTAATTACACTACAAACAAGTAGTAGCATATAGTTCAATATACTTTGATTGGGGACAACCTTATTAAATTAATTGCATTACATCGGAGAAGTGTGCCGATCTTTTTTTCACATGAAACTTATTCTAGATAGTCAAATGAAGTGGACTCGACAATAATAAAGTATATAATCAATATAAAAGTTTCAAAAAGTAATTTCACAATAAAGCTTAAATGGATATGTTTAAATTGCTTTAATTGTGATACGGATTGCGTTGAAAGGAAAAGGGAAATCTTGTCGGAGCATATTTATAATGTTGGTGTTTAACTATTTGTAACAGAAGCACATAATTTGTTGGAATAAAATTTAAACATTTGTAACTGCACAGTTTGTTTCCGCATTTTATCACAATGCCAGTTGGTATGTATAGACCATAACGTATTGACTGACTTATTCCAAAATTGTCAAGATGATGTTTTGGGGAGTTAGATTATATACACAGCAGCATATTGCCGCATCTGTTGAAAATATAGGTAACTTGTTGTCTTATATCAAGACAACTGATATGAAAATACATAATAATGCTATACAGCAGTTTATTCAAGAAGAGTCATTTAGACTAAACTGTCTGAAAGACGTTGTCAAACATGACGAAATGGTAGATATAATTCATTTTAGATAAATATAAAATAAACCAGATGAGTTCAAATACTGAAATAAATCTTATTTGTTTGTTTGTTATTCCTTAAAACTCCAAGTGATATTTTTTATCAAAGTCAAATATTTCAGTGTATATATTAATAAAGCATAAAATATCAATATAAAAAGATTTGTTTAAATTATTGATACAAACTTGCCTGTTAGAAAGGTAACATATGTTAAGTAATTACTTGTGGTGAATGAACAATATGAATTGTTTCTTTAATTGAAACATAGTGGAAAGTATATAGGCAAGATTTTTATTTAAAAGTATAAACTCAATAATTTGTTTGTGTTACTGTGATAACGTGTTTTCAATTTATGTTATTATTGACTATTGCTCGGATGTGATGCAGTGTTTAATTACACTACAAAAAAGTGGACTCGACAATCATTAAGTATATAGTCAATATAAAAGTTTTAAAAAAGTAATTTCACAATAAAGATTAAATGGATATATTTAAATTGCTGTAATTGTGATAAGAATTGAGTTGAAAGGAAAAGGGAAATCTTGTCGGAGCATATTTATAATGTTGGTGTTTAACTATTTGGAACAGAAGCACATAATTTGTTGGAATAAAATTTAAACATTTGTTACTGCACAGTTTGTTTCCGCATTTCATCAAAATGCCAATTGGTATGTATAGACCATAACGTATTGACTGACTTATTCCAAAATTGTCAAGATGATGTTTTGGGGAGTGCTCCTATTTTTGATCAGGATCAGAGGATATACACAGCAGCATATTGCCGCATCTGTTGAAAATATAGGTAACTTGTTGTCTTATATTAAGAGCACTGATACAAAAATACATGATAATGCTATACAGCAATTTATTCAAGAAGAGACATTTAGAGTAAATTGTTTGAAGGAAGTTGTCAAACATGCAGAAATGGTAGATATATTTCAGAGTGACAGAGACATAGATATTCACGAGACACAAGGCTATGTGCAGCAAAATAGAAACGAACTTTTTCAAAATCAATTGCATGTTTACAGAATGCAGAAACATTTGATGAAATATTACAACGTCTCTAAACAGATTCTTATACAGGGAAAATATAACACTTCATCGTTTCTAGAAAAGATGATTCAGAAACGCATGGTGGTTCTGCCAAAAACAAAGGATTTACATAATGCAGCACTGGGTATGTAACTGTTTTTTTTAATGTTTGTGACATTTTAATCATTGCGGCATATACTTCTTATTGAATGGTACATGTCTGTCTCGCTTAAATCGAAAAAGACGCACTTAAAGTTTATGGCGTATTTATTGTCTTTGTCACCATGATTAATAATGGTGACAATTCAGCTTATCAAAGCACTTGTACCAATTTGAATTAATGCAATTTCATCAATTTCAAAAAAAACAACAGAAATTTGAAAGGTGAAGCCGCAATATTACGATTTTAAAAATTCACACCTGAAGGTTTAACACAACTTTTTAAATTAGATTTTTATATTTATAGCCTATAATATTTTTATTAATCACCATCCATGCAGTGCTTTGCTTTTGCAAGTGTCATGCGAGGTGTAACAAAATAAAATAATGCATTATGCATCTTTTAATAGACGTGCATTATCTAACCTATAAAATATAGTCATGTATAACTTTTTTCTAGCATGTCCTTACTTAATTTAGGCATCAACAGGATTCAAACAGCCTACAATCTAAAATGGAATGATATATTTCGCGGTGAAATCAATGGCAAGGTTTCCAGGCATCTAACTGTTGATGAAATTCTTGACATCGTGCAAACAATTAAACCAGATTCAGAAAGCGGACTAAGTGCTTTTAAACACGCATTGACATTCTTAGCAAATATCAACAGTGGTTTATATGCTAAAATAGACCAAGAAAATCATATTGATAAACTTGAATTTATGTCAAAAACATTAGTTACAAAGAAATGTCTTTGCTCACGGGAAAGTATTCATATCTATAACATATTGAATAGTAAAAATAATACTTACGCCAAGAAAATATCATCTGCATTAAATTCTTGCATTCGGACTTTCTCCGTGCATGATTGTAAACACATGAAGCTGGCGGTCCATTCGCAAGAAGGTGTGAATTCAAATGTTCTGTATCTCTGTACGGAAGCAATATTGAAATCACCCGTTATAAAAACACGGAAAAGGAACCTCCATTGTAAACTAGTGCATAATAACCAAGCTGCGTTGATTATTAATCCAGTTAAGGTAGAAATTATTTCAGATCGCCCACGTCTAGCTATTCTTCATCATATTGTAAGAGCTGATAAAACTCTAGATTCAATTCGTAGGATTGTCAAGGAACAATCATCTTCTTATGTAACAAAAAAGATTTACGTAGAAGACGGAAAAGCTGTGGCTTTTATAGATATTGATTTATCACATGTAACGTCATATAAATTAATTGAACAAAAAATATTAGCGCTTTCAAGAACCAAAGACTTAATCAGTTTCAGAGCTCGAGCGATTAATTACGGGATTGGAGGGTTTGGAATTAATGATTCTTCTGATCAACAAGTAAATTATTTTGAAAGAGAATGCATTTTTTCGGCTGTTTTTCAATTAACAAATGTAGATGACGGAGGGTTCGAAATTTTTCAGAAATTAGGACTCACTGTAAGATTAGAAAAAGGGAGTGCTTTGCTTTATGAAAACATGTTTAGAGATGGTTCAGAATATATAAGTAACGAACACTGTAACTGTCCGGTTCTTCATGGAAATAAATGGATTGTTAAAATATGTTTAAGCATCCGCTGAATGAAATGTTCCAAGGGTTTATACCGGGTATGCAGCAATTGAGTCTTCATCATGTAACAAGTCATGGAATTTTCTCACCTCAAACTTAGTTCTCAAGGAGTTAACTGCTCTTAAACCAGCACATATTGGACAGTGACCAATGAAAAATCTTGAGACAGAACTCAGAACGTAAACAAATTAAACCTCTATGCCATGAAATGCCCTGTAAGAGTATGAGAATTTAAGAAACCAAAACAGTATGCTTTCCTGAATAAAGGTAATTCGACTAGAGGTACATAATTCTGTAGGGAAACTAAAACTGACGCAATTCTATATGATAGATACTCGTCGCATTTGACAGATTTCTATGTCTTTAATGATATAGGCAAAAACATTTTCCATTGTAATTCAGCTATTCTGTGTCAAGTAAATCACAATAAGAATATACAAAGAAAACCATTATACTGGAGCACTGTTGGTCTGTTGGCTACAAATCAAAAATAACTATAGGGGGAATGTTGAAGCATGTTCTCTTGAAGAACTTACTTAACTGTTGTTCATAAACTGTTTGATGTTTGGGGTCATGGATTGTTTTAACTGGCATCAAATGTACAGATGTACTATGCTTCAATTTTTTGCCGGATGTATTTTGCTTTTTTTTTCAAGAAAAATAGTACAATGCACTTTTGGTCCTGTTATATAGGCAGGAAATTGAAAGGATTATTCCTTTAACGTATATATCCGTATACCCTTTTTTCATAATATTTATGTCTGTAATTAGATCATTATATTTCGTTTCAGACAATGTTAATATAGAAAATAATCTAATGAATTTTGCCAATAAAATGTTATAAAGTCAAATGTTGACACTATATTTGTATTCAAAACATTAATTAAAAGAAATAAGATACTTAAAGACATCCAAATAGAATAGAAACAAATTATATATTCTCTTTTTATTAATTAATATCTGACGACCATTTAATAACTAAGAAACCATATGAATCCAAGCGAACAAAATATTTCCAGATTTGTTTAAAATTTCACAATTGCCTTTTATAAAACTTTTTCATTCGGGGAAAATTTCTTTCCTACGTTCAATATTTTCATAGAAATGAAAACAAACAATTGATGCTTACTTATATAACTTTACTTAACAAACATCTTTTAATTATTGAGGATAGAAGAAATGTTCTTTTCGTCATTTATGTAATTTCATAATAGCTAAGCTTTTAATTTGTTAGAATGACATTTACTAAGTTTATAATGAAAAATAATTTGATTTATTGGTATGCTTGAAATATAATATATTCCTCTAGTTTTTCATTGCATTCAATGTTATGTTAAAGGTCACCTTCGAACATATAGCAAGCATTCCAAAATCGTCTCCGAAATTTCCGGACAGTAATTACAAAAATATTTTTGAAAATCGCATACTCGGTTAGATTAAATCTGTTTATAGGAAATAATGTTGTTTCTTTTTCTTTCTTTTTTGTTGTTGTTGTTACTGTTGTTGTTTTTGAATGTTTTTGTTGATTTCTGGGTAGAAGGTTTAGCACCAAAAATTGAAGTCTTATAACATCTGATCCCCTTTCAAAATTGCATTTTGTTTAGTTCTGCCCATTGTTTTCTCGTTTAGGGCACACGCATTTTTTACTTGGGGACCATATGCCGCTTTTCATGAAATGGCACTTATTGAAAGTTCTATGATAACCGCCATATATACACATCTGCGGGTGTGCCAAAATTCAAAATTGTACCAGTTCATGTTAAATATTGAATTCTGCTTAAGCCGGTGCTAGGGGGCGTGGACGGTAGTTTGCACTTGGCAGTACCGTCCATGAACAAGCTCAATCAAACCGAGCCTGCAACATTTTCAATTTTGCCGTGTTGGCCTTTCTTTAGGGATTCTTATTTTCTCTATTTTATCGCCATATCAGCGTTGTTTGCGCCGGGTGGAGGCTGTAAAAAGTCGACCAGAACATTCAATAAGTGGGGTAATATTTCCGATCCTTGAACACGACATTATTGTTGTGCTTGTGGCAATTTAGTTCTTTCTATTCGGCTATTTTCTTGCTGGGTGGTTCCAGAAAACTGTCAAGAAATATTCCAAAGTAATACCTGTCCACAAACTAAAAAAGGGTTGTTACTGCCAGCAATAGGCGACGCTGTTCGAGATGCCTTCTTCGTACTAGGGACGCTGAACGTTTTCATGTTAAAAGTATTTTATCGTGTAACAATTGATTCTGTCACCAATGAAACTGACAATTCTGCAATGTATCATGACCTGGGCACATTTGGTGAAATTAAAGATAAGCAACAATTGGTAATGAGTTTATCCATTTTACTAGTACGATACATCTCTCACTTTTCCAATATGTGTGTGCAATTAACTTTATCAAATTTACATTTTTTAACAAAACATCAATAGTAAATATACATGTAACTTTCTATCACAATCGGCTTTTCGTAAAACCTGTATCACAATATTTTCATCATAATCATACATGTCCATATCATACGTATTCAAATGTCATGTGATTTTTTAAGTTTAGACATTTTGTTTATAAAGATAATGCATTTTTGCACCCTCCTTGATAACACTACTGTCAATTCTACAATTAATGCACATTAATGAAAACCAGATGTGCATGTTGTTTTTATTGAATTTAATTCAAAAATAACAGTAATTGTATATTATAAATACACTACAGGTGACATTTAAGTGATTTCTTTTAATTATCAGCTACACTTACCCATTTTAAGATTATTTTTCTAACAAGAAGATAACTCAAACCGATTAATGAAAATAGGCTAAAGAAATATAAAGAATACACTGTGCCAATAACTGAATAAAGTTCATTTGACGTTTTCAATCGACATCTACTTCTTTAAACCATACTTTTCGGACTTACATTGCCTTTGAACTTTTGGTTTTATAAACTCAGTTCTACATTATTTACAAGCGTACCTAAAAGAGTCTCCTCAGGACCAAACTAATGATATACTTTAACAGAAAATGATGACAATACCTGAAATGACCCAAAATCGCGATCTTCCATGTTAAAACATGGTCTAACATATAATTTTGAAGAGAAATTGTTGTTATGTAGAATTTTTTCATTTTGTTTTTCATTAGCCCATTACCGCATGAGCATTTTGTGAAAAAATGGCTGTTTCCATTGAAAAGTCTCCCGTAACAAGTTCAAATTGCTGTAAAATTATAAAAACTGATTCAATACTAATTAAACTTGGCACAAATGTTGACTGGACCATTGCCATTGTAACAATATGCTCTATCTTAATTTTCCTGTTACCATGGCAACGAGGGGACATCTAAAAAATACCAAAATCGCTTTTTGCGTTATATTTTTTTCTATCAAAAGTGCTGCAACTTCTTAATGGATTGAGATAGAGTCAAAGGCTTTTTCGTTGATTACACGTTACCTTAAGATCGATCTGGAATCATTTTAGCCCCTCACAAGACCAGAGTTTTCTTGGCGATGAGGGGGCTGCCGCCCCCTTCAAACCCCTAAACAGAAGTGGGCACATCCCACTTCTGGCAACCCCTTGATGTATCTTTTGGATATGGGGCGGCGCCGAAAAAGTGTTCACTTTTTTAAACAACATTTCTCAAACAAAAACAAGTGTTTGGGGCATGAATAAGGCATTTTTTCACCATTTGAGACAACAAAAAAAGGGGGGGGGTAGTAAAAGGCGTAAAAAAGCGTGTTTATCTGGTAATGGGTTAATAGACACAGGTGAATTTTGTTGCGGGGATATGTTAATTTAGAAGTTGGTGAATAGTAAATTACGATATCTCAGACTTTTAGATAATTTTCAGCCGTATAAAAACAGCAGGAGAATCAAAAAGTCATTTCACCATATATCAAATAAATATATAATACAATAGTGACCAAGTTGGTATTTTTCCGTATTTCAAAGGATTGTTTTGACTTAAACATATCTCATTCGCCATGTTTGGCTGGTATAAACTCTATATCATGTAAACCAATGGCTGCGATTGCGATGTTTTGAAGTCCGTTTTGAAGACCCTCGCTGACCACCCCTCCAGCATTATAATTTACAAAATCCATGTTAATTTCACTGTTGCTTTCTACGTGACCATTACCATTGGCAACAGGGTTGCACAACTGCTTAGCAATTTTAGAACTATCCTTTATAATATCTGAAGACGAGTGCGTCTTGTTATTGGAACCGGATTTACTTTCGTCTTTGCGCTTGCGCGAATGAAATCCCTTTGTGATCGAGGCTGCGGTAAGCGAAATTTTTGCGGTGTTCATTTCTACAGCATTAGCTTCCGACTCGTCCATCTTGTTTGCACATATGCATACGCACGAACGGTTCTTCCTACACGACCGGCAATGTTTCCGGAACAAATTCCAGTACAGTTTCGTGATTCGTTGCGTACAGATAAATGAAATGAATATGAATACTCCCTGCCCTGCATTCAGTACAATGAAAATGTATTCAAGGGGCGTAAAATCGGTCCATAGATACAAGTAGCCAAAAATCCACGTAACTCCAGTGAGGGATGATAATTTCATGTATATCACTGTATTGGCGCGGTCGGTCGATTTTCCACGTCTACGCATAGTGGATGCTGATATTTGATATACGACGGCGAAAAAGAATCCCATGTTAAGGATAATTATCACGCCAACAGGCAGGGCAAACACCCAACCAACCATAACCGGGTTCGATATATAACATACACGTCCACCGTACCCGATTTCCTGTCCATTGGATCTATACATCGAAACTGTGATGTTTATAGCTACCATCGAAATAGCAATGCCATAGCAATACAATGCATAACAACAGACTTGCGGATCTAATGCTCTTACGGAACGATAACTCTGTCCAGTTACAAACGTCCGAAACATATGCAAAGTGCATGCGTTCATCCAGAAAATTGCAGTAAGCCAAAATAAATGAATGAAAACACCTAGAGCGATACAAAGCTTTGGGGTCTCCGTCTGATCCATGCCAAACTGATATAAAACCTGCGCGAAAAGAAGATGTACTGATAACATTAGGTTATTCTTTCCGGGAATAGAACGCAGCTCGTCGAAAACGACATACGTTAAGATAGTGATTAAAAGACCGGCAATTGACATCATATTACAAATAACCGAAACGATAGCCTGTGGTGAGTAAACCTGACCCTTGCGTTTCTCTTCGAGATATTTACCGGCGTCGCGGAGATAGTCGGATAGGCACATGCGTACCTGTTCATAGTTCGTGGTTCTTGCAAACTCGCCGGTATTAATACGAGTGTCAGGTTTGATTATGTCAAAGATGTCAATGTAATCGTGAATTTCGCTTCTATGAAGAAGCACTTGTGTGCAAAATGACAGTTTGTTTATTTGCATATGTTTGAATGAAGATTTAATGGCCTCAACATCGACCCTGTAAATGTTTATTAAAGCAGTATACTTAATAAGATCTATAATAACAATATCGCTAAGCGGGTATGTACTTAATTCTATTTTGATACCTACAGAAAACTCCACGTGGACACCAACGGTTCCGTTCTCCGTGAGGATAGCTATATCTCTATCATACGTTGTTTCATCAAAAATTATACTTTTGTTGACTGAATTCCGATCTATGCTTACCAGTATAAATGTATAAATGTAAGAGTTATCATCTGTTATAGAAAGAACAATAATTTCTGTAGTGATCTGATTGTCAAATCCAAACATCTGCGCTAAAACATCATCAGTGAAGATTGTTTTGTTTGTTTTCTCGAAAACGTCTTTTGACAAACTGTCTGGGATAAGCTTTAGAGATATACTGTATTTCGCTTTGATGACGTCTTTGTAAATAGGAATGCAGTTGACGCCGACACGCTGACGTCCATTAGGACAATACCAATCCCTGCATTTCTCCTAAAATATAAATGAAAAATATAATCACGTACTATGAAATAAATAACAATGTTATTTTCTATGGATGGATTGTGTTTTCTTTCTATATAATGTGCGAAAATGAAATGTTTAAAATAACGTCTGCAAATTATATCTGCAGAAACATTCAGAATTTCTAGACTCGTGTGGTTTTCCTGCAAGTCTGTCTGTCTGTATGTCTGTCACTCTCTCTGTCTCTCTCTCTCTTCTATCATATAAGCGTTGTTACAGACAAAGATAATCTTCTGTAAATTTAATATTGATGTTTTTATATGTAAAATGATCTTTCCTCTAAGATACTATGGTTTCCATAAAATGAAGATGATTTGAATGTGTTTTTGAACGCTTGACTTGTATTGGTTTTGCAAAGTGAGATGCACATTGATTTCATTTATGTTATCCCTCAGATAGTTTAGCTAATATTGTGAGGCATCAGGTGTTATAGCCAAGTTACAACATTGTTAGAATTTATGATTATTTCATAACTTACAATTATAAAAACCTTATAGAAAATTAAAATGATAGAAAAAAATAATGATAATTAAACATGTCATTTTACAGTGTAGCATATTCAATAAACGGTCTGACGCAATTCCAAGTTTCTTATTTCGTATTCGCACGTTAGTAAACTTTACTAAATGTGTTTTTCATTTGACAGAACAATCAAAATAATGTACAACAGTTACAATTTCTTGTGACCATGAATAAAAACTGTGAAGTGACAAATTAGGGGACAATTAGTGAAAATGTGACAATATCCAAAAAAAAAAAAAAAAAAAAAACACAAGGAAACAAAAAGAAAGAAAGAAATAATCAGAGTAAAGTATGTACGTGTTTGAAGCCTATTCTCATTAAGGCCAGTGTTTAAATGAGTATGTATTGGTAATAATTAACATTCTCGGTGTTTAGGGTGAAATATAAAAGTAACATTTTACTTAATGTGTTTCTCCAGCACGAAATTGACTTCTTTTAAAACACACAGAGAAGAACTGAATAAAAGTAGGATTTTCGTTGAGGTTGTTGCTGTTAAAATAACATTTAGTGATTAAGTATTTTACAAATTGTATTTTAAAATAAATAATATAGAATTAAATGTAATTTTCATTTGAGTCTGTGTTTTTTTAGAAGACACTAATTAGGCTGGTTGCCTAGGTTTTTTTGGCGGGATTTCTACTAAAATTTATTTATAACAACATTACAGGTTAACAATTATAATAATATTTTTGATGAACAAAACAATTCGTACACGAACAAACGAACAATATTTTATTTATAAGAAAAGAAAAAGGTAATTGCGTTTTCAGTTGATAAGACAAAATTAAAATAACCAATGTTTATACATATACGGTATATATACCCTGTACGTACAAGGTTAAATTTTGCACTTCAATCTAGGAAATAGTGTTAGTAAATGCTCAATGCCTGATTTGTTATTGAACCTGTATAAAAAGATAACAACTTTTCCTAGTACGAGAAATACGACTACAAAGTATGTATATACAGACCATGTTGGCGATTTGAAAACTATTATACAGTATATCTTGGCCTTCAGGAATGACATATAGTTTAATTGACCAAAAGTACTAATCTTGTCATAACGGTTGCTCATTTAACCAACGGTGAACATCCTTATACAGTTGTTGATTCTATAACTTACATGAAAATTGCAAACTCGGTTTAATGGGTATAATGAAAAAATGAAACATATCTTATGCCCTATAACACCGACTTAAGCGGTACATATTCAATTATCAACACTAAATGTGCTGGAATCATTTATTCTAAAGGAAAAGAAAAGTATAACAACACTGAAATTAATCTAATAATACGATCCTTGATACTACTCTTTTGTCCAAGCGAGGATTGCACGCATGCAGAGCTGCCTTTCACACAAAGATATGGACACCATATTTTATTTATATCCTTCGCTTTCATTCTGATCATGATGCAAAAATTTCATTTGTCCAATTATAGACATATCAATACATATCAATTAAGCTTTATAACGGATAATTATGCCAAAGTTATACTGCCAAATCACAATTGTCTAATTGATAAATATTATCCAGAATTCGACATATATGGGATTTTTTCCTGGCTAATATTTCGGTACAATCATTGCTTCGACATGCACAACATATTGATAGACCACGTGCGAATATTCGTTAAATCTGCACGATTTTCTTGCAAATTTAAAGCAGAAAATTATGACATTATTTGTCTGGCCCAGTACACCGTGAATATCCAGTAACGCAGGAATGTGCAAATAATGTAACCGTAACGCCGAATCTGTGAAACACTATTACCAAAACGAATAGCGCAGTAAGTAAACGGACCCAAATATTTTATTTTTAATCAAATTTAAAGAAATGAATGAGCGCATACGGCCGCTACGACATTATACTTAAACCAGCATTACAATTTTTTTCAGGAATGTGTTAACTTCTTTTGATCAGTCGTGAGAAAGTCAACCTGATTACCGTTTTGAAGGTGACTTTTGTGTTTCGTCAAATAAATATGTACATTTAACACATTTAAAACAATATTTTTTCATATCCTGTATACCTAAGACATTTGTCAAACTACAAGTGTTGTATAACAATAGAAGAAAGTTGGTAAAATAAGATTTAGCTACGTTTAATAAGATAACCGACGTTGCTTCAGTGCTCCATTCACGAATTCAGCGTTACCTCGTAAAAATGGTGTGTATAGTCTAAATTAAGTGTAATATGACACGAGTAGATTGGAAAATGTCTCGGGTACACCGCATATAAAAAGTCATAAAGTAATATGTAAGTTTTTAAAGATGCCAACAAAACTAAAAATCGCCATCAATACGATAGTTAGGTCGTCATTTTCACGAATGATCTTTAAAAATAAACATTTTCATGGAAATTGTTTTGATGAGGTTTAAAGTTAAATGTCTCAGCAACCGTATGCTCTAATTAATTTCTTTCAATTCAATTTGGTGTGCAATGAAAAATGTTGGCCCAATTACTTATCGCGGTGCATGTTTCAGACACTAAATTGCACAATTTTGCCTTACTTTTGCACAATTCCTGCGTTATTTGCACATTCCTGCGTTACTGAATATACACGGTGCAATAACACTGATATATTTTACAAAACACGTGTCACTGACGGCCAAAGAAATTGACCTATCAAAAAGCATAGCAATTAGATAATTGACAAAATTATCTTGAACACCAAAACTATAATTAGGCCAAATTTTCAACAAGGCACAGCTACACATTTAAATAAAGGTTTTTTCTTTCCTTTTCTTGTATTACATTAGGTCATTATTGATATGTCCAAATACATTGTATATCTAATATATTTATTCATAGTGTTGCCCCTCACATGTTCACGTGACTGTTTATTATTGTTTACTATTACATATGTATTGGTCTCAAGTTTTTGTATTGTAAATATGAAAACTCAGATATATATTCAATAAACTTGAAAGTCGCTTTTTAATCAACTTGTAACAGTTATAACCCTGAAAAGCTGTGAAAATCTTCTTTCAGATTCTTAATTCCGGGGTAAGACTATTAACCAAAATGTATGCCATATTCGCCAACCCTGTCGCGACTATTCAAAGAATAGGGCGACCCCCAAGGCCTGTACTCACCCAGGCCTTGGTGCGACACTTTGGTTAAGTCTTAAAAACTACTGAAGGGAATGGGTTGTAACTTTTGTAACTTGACACACTTATTTGAGAGCATGATAGAATGTCGCTGTCCAAGGCTTACTGTAGAGCACTCTACATGTACCATATATTTTGAACACCTCGGCTATTAGACATACTAACCTCGGACTTGATACGGATTAAAGTAGGTCTACCACGTGGTTTTAGATGTAAACAAAAACAGAGGGTATAATTTTTAATAACGTATAATGAATGTATATATTTGACATCAAAAGAAAAAGAAAGTCTACTTCGGTTATTATGATTGAAAATATGTTTGACAATCACAATGAATTCATAAATTCCCACTGATGAAAAATTATAACCTAATCCGGAGGTAGATATTTTTACTTTCGGTTTCTACAAGTATAAGATATAAAATAATGTACTGTTTACATTTATATCTATAAATTGTCTTAATAAAGTTGGACATTTACTCGCTATATTGGAATAAACAACTCCATGCATCCATGTGTACATGTTTAGTTAGTCCGGTCTGTGTATTCTAACTATTATGTTCGATGTCTATCTCCTTAATTTGACGGAAAGGCCGAGGAGGTGCGAGTAAGATTTAAACATAATTATGGCTACTTCTGAACTTAGAAATTTCTACATTACCTAGACTCTTATTTACTATTCCTACCGACAGCTCTTGTTTTACTTTGTCAACAATGTCCATCAAGTGTTATATCAACAAATCGGCAATATTTTTGCCCTTAAACATTCAAATTTAAACTTAAAAAGTGACCTCAAATTTTATTCTCACTTGAAATGTTCCTGTTCATGCAAAGTTAAAAAAAAATATTTAAGAAATGAATTGAATTGTGACAAGCAATTTATCGATTTACTAACATGAAGATGACTATATAAACTTACCAAGAAAGGGTCAAATGTCTGCTCTCCACATCTCACACCAGACGGTAAATAACTAGCAGGTGTAAGCTCTACGTCCAGCAATGGCGGAATAATCTGTGAATCGTCTCCCATACCATTGTTCAGTTCAGCAACCAACTCATTTTCGTCGTGAAGAAAAATATCTACATCAGACGGACAGGTGTGATTGTCCTTATCGCTGTCGAATGTATTACACAAATAGCAAAAGTAGTTTCCGTATACGAATGTTTCGTTTTCTTGAGCACTTATATAAGGCATATAAAACTCGCCACATGCCGCTCGTACGGAGGTGTTCTTGAATTCATCTGGACATACTCTGACAATGTTTGTTTCCTCGAAACAGAAGTCCTGTTTCACATCTGCTCCATTTGGCGGCAAGAAGTCAATGCCACATTCGTGGTAATTTGTCGTAGCAGTGTATGTAAAAACTGACTCGGCTGTAATAGGAAACAATAATATGTCTGCTTTAATTACATTCACCTTAGAACATGTGATGAAAGCTTTCCATGGTTCCAAGTAAGTAGTGTTGTCGTTACTGATATTGTTGCACTGGGCACAGAAAATATTTCTATACGTCAATCCATTGTCGAAGTCATATACTGGAGTGCTTTCGTTAAACTTTGTTGCATCAGGTTCCGTACAACGCGTTTCATTAATAGCTGGCAAACACCCTGTTACCATAGTTACTCCTAAGTGTGACTTGGAACCTTTTTCATCGTATTTTGACATTTGTTTCTGACTTTTATTCAAATTAATGGTTGTAGTAACGCATTCAGATTGACTCTTGTTTGGTTCAGTTTGATTTGCAATTTGTTCAGTTTGATTTGTAGTTTGTATATCAGGGCAGCAGTTACCTTTGTGTATGCAAACAGAAGTATCACAGGAGCATGGTAAACAACATAAAGCAGCACTTGCAGTATTGTAACAATTTTCGTATCCCGGGCATGCCTGATGTAAAGATTCAATTTGGGTTGTTGTCAACACAGCGTCTGAGTGAACCAAACTTAATACAATAATAGCCCACATCAGAAGATGGAGTCCACAATAACTGGAATCCATTGTCATGTAGTTGTCATTCAGACCTATACGTTCTGAAAGTCATTATTTGAACATATATAAATTTACTTATCATTATATCAACGAGCTTAAGTCTTGTCTCTAAAAACACGCATGTAAATTGCTTGATTATCTAATGTATTATTAATAATTATATTAACTTAATATATAATCTTAATGAAAAGACAACATTTACTGTTGTAATATAATTCAATGATATACTTACATGCTAATGTAAATGGTTATTTTCTAAAATTACAATCAATATAATTGCTGGCTAGAAATAAATTAACAAACAAACAAACAAAATAAAATCCTAATATATTTTAATAAGTACTGACTGCCTTTTGACTTTAAATTCAACTCCAGAGAAGCGTTTACCAGCATTGTTTTCAACTTCCGGCCAAACTTTTCATATTCGTTACATAATTTTGATGATATTAATAACATCATATTTGTGTTCTGCGCATTTAATTAAAAGACTTCGAATTGTAATGATAATTTTAAATAATAATCATCATCATCATCATCATCAACATGATAATCATTATCAAAAGAGCATACTTTTCATTTCGATGGTATTTGAAAATTTGCATTCAATTACAGTTACCAGATTATATGCCAAATTATTTTAGGATGAATGAGAAAGGAAAAAACATGTAAAGTATACGTACCGCATAGTTCACTAGTATACCATATAATTCTCTATATTCCTGCGTCGCAAATGATTAAATTATATATATACGATATATTTATATTTCGCACATACGACGACAAAGGATCATCGGTGAATTGCGATATACAAAACCGAGGTAAGCGTCGAAGTAGTTACCATGGTAACGAAGGTAAGGCGTTATTAGATTACGGCTGCTGTGATATTTATTTTGATACCTTGGCAGAGAGCGTGTTTTATTAAATAAAAAGACCAGTCGCCATTCATCCGTCCTTTGTATATAAACTGAAAAAAATCACATGTATATTCTAACATGTTCTTTAGAAAAGAAACAAAAAACAAACATTTAAATATCAAGCAGGTTTCCTGGAAAACATTTGCACAAAGAACGCAATTTTCTGAAACAGATATTACTTATTTGCCATTACACCTAAAATGACGTAATTCTAACACATGAGTATCGCCTATTATGATAGAAATATTATCATAAAATAATATATCAATGGCTATATTTTGTGGAAAGACAAACTTGATTCAATCAGTTGTTCTAAAATATTTTCAATGAGAAACTTTAATAGTTGGTTCCTTCAAGTTCTTGGCCATATAATTCAGAGTATGTAAGTGTTTAATGTTTTGCTTTATTGTTTCTTTTCTGGAGACTGACTTTGTATTTCTAAAAAAATAATCTAGTAGTTTTCCAGGCGATTTATAAATGTGCACAGTAAATTACATGTTTACAGTATATTGCCAAAACGGACAGCGATTGCACGAAAATGCCTTGCTGAGACATCATTTTTCCAGCAACGGACAAAATGTGTCATTACTTTATATTTTGGGCGATTATATTTTGTTCAACATTGACAGTAACAATGTTGAAACAAAATTCATATTGGTTGTAGTCAAAGAAAGTAACTTGATATAAAAATCGTATTAAGCTAGTATTAACATGTGAAGTAACTTAGATTGTTGCGGTAATTGTCGAGTCGGCTACAACTTGTAAGCCTGAGGTCCCCAGTAAAAGGCATTCGTCGGTACTGAAAAATACACAATGACCCTCGGAACGAAACTCGCCAAAAATATAGGTGTTCAAATAATGATACGATGTATACAGGATGTTTAACTTTCAACATTGTCGTGTGTAAGTAATTCATATCTTAAATTCGTTGAAAGACATATACATGTATTTGTGGCGCCTACAGATTTATGTGACCTTCCCAAACTTGCAGATACCAGTGGATATTTTTACATGGACAGGTAGTTCTACTATCAAGTATGTTATTTGGCACACAAGGAGCTGACAAGTTGTGCCATTACAATATTTCCAAAGGGTAAATCTGTCTATCATTTTATTTGTGGAACCCGTCTTATATGTGTGTCCCAAGTACAAGTTTCTAATAAATACAAATATACGTTTAGTACAAACAAAAGCTAAACAGTCCATTGATTCTTTAAAAAATATTCTGTTTTAAACATTTGGGATTGTGATTGCAGAATAAGGTTGTTGTATCGCATCAAAAAACATTGTAAAATGTCGATGCCTCATTCATGTAATACAAAAAATCAACCATGGTGCACAGAGACTTGGGGTTTGGAGCTCAAAACGCCTTTAAAATCCAAATAAAATGCATATTTGTCAATCCCAGCACATGTACTGATCATATATATCAAAAAAACTTAATATAAGCCGTTTTGAAAAAAAATCATATTTCAACATCTATAATAATGTATTATTATAGATGTTGAAATATGAAATTTTTTCAAAACGGCTTATATTAAGTTTTTTTGATATATATGATCAGTACATGTGCTGGGATTGACAAATATGCATTTTATTTGGATTTTAAAAGCGTTTTGAGCTCCAAACCCCAAGTGTCTGTGCCATGGTGCACAGTTACGTAAATAACAAACTAAACTTTAAACAGTATAGCCACATGGACTTTGTCTAATAGTTAAAAAGTTCCGTGAAATTATTTTGCTTAAACATATTATTTTATAGATGCAATGCTCTAAACTTTATAGCTGGTTCATGTCACAGTTATTTTTCTAACCCTACATCTTCAAACCAGTTGAACCTTGTTGACGTCAGCCGTTATAGATACAATTAGTCCAAAATGAAAATATATCAAAATGATTATATTGATAGTATTTATAGTAACATATGACAACAAACCATGAAAGAGTTACATGATTATACGGATATTGTTGGTAGGTGTGAAATACGTGATCTATATATAGATACCTATATATAGAAGATAATAAATAGTTCTAGAACAAAATAATAACGTTCATCATATTAATATTCATACTAAATCATTACGAACACTTTTGTTCAAGAGTTATATATTATAAGAATATCAAAATGATACATACATTTCTATTGTTTTTATCAACATTGGAAATACTTATAAAATTGTGTCCATTGTAGACCAATCCACTTTAAAACTGCATGTATCATTCTACTTCAAATACAGTATTACCTGTAGGTATATATATTTCAATTGTACATCTTAGAAAAGTTAGCAACAGCCAGTTTTTAAAATTTTAAACGTGTTTCTTGCTTGGATCATACTTCATAAGAATACAGCTTGTACTGTTTGATCAGAATGGATGTTATTGATAAGGTGCCCCGTAATTACCGAGCATCTATTTCTAACATGCACGGACGCTGTCCTGTTGACATTTGTGGGTCGAATTAATGTCTGATTCTCGTGAAAAGGAAAGGTGTTGTAATCGAACCCTTTTAACCTTAATTCAAATCTACACCCAATACCAGTTCCCTGTTTTGTGACGACAGTCACCACGTTGAAGAATTCCATCAGCTATTTTAATTGAAATCCAGGTAGAAAACATGTGTCCACATGTAAAACTTACGATATTGTTAAAATTATTTCTGACAATCTCAATTTCCATCAAATGTATTAATAAGACGATGTTTTAATATCTAAAGCACCAAAAATAAGATTGAAATAGTTTTTCAGACAACAATTTTCTTTGCATACAATGAAATTTATTGACGGAAAAAGTATACATTTTATCCTATAAATGCGAAATTGTTTTAGCTCTATAGGCCTGGATTTCAACATGGCATGCACGAAAGTAAAATAGAGTAATAAAGAATCCCTAAAGAACGCACGAAACGACAAAATTGAAAATGTTGCAGGCTCGGTTTGATTGAGCCTGTTCATGAACGGAAATGGAAATATTTATTCCGGAGAAATAAACCTTCAATTTATTGAATTTACATTAACTACAAAAGTGAATAACATTTTCCTTATGGTCTGTGTTCTGAAAACATGACGATGAAACTCGTGTTAAATAATGAAAACTTAGTAATAGTTTTCATATAGTTGTGAGAACTAATAAGTTTTTGTTCAGTTCTCTGAATGAACTAATAGATGATTTTTGAAATGGTTATTGTTTACCATGAATTATTTCGTCAATCTGTTTGGCTTTATATTTTGCTATGTTTTGATAAATTATTTCCGGAGAAATTATACTCATTTTACATACCGTTGTCATGGGAAACAGACATTACATTTACCTTATATAAGTAAGTTCAGATTTCGTAGCACTTCAAATTAAGAAAATGTACACTACGTCTCTTGGATTCGTTATAATACAGCAGAAAAAAACGAAAAATGAAAGTCTAACATCGCATGAGGTAAACGTTGTAGTTCTTGTAAATATATCGAGACTAAACATATCAATATTCCGAATGAAATATATTTGTAGTTGCAACAACAAGTAAAAGCATTCAAAAATGCTTGGAATCTCGCCGTCCATCCAGGTATAAGGGTTGACAATTACGATACATGCACGCAGTGGAGAGGCACAGGGCAAGCCAGATAGTTTAGCCGATCTTCACAACTTCTGACAATCCTAGTTTGTTAGACATTTTTTTAAACATCAATCAATACAAAAATGACATAGTTATAAATGATGGTCATTATTTTTAACAATGTTGTTCATGATACATGACCATTGTACGTCCATCTATATAACTTATTATTTCCTGCCATTATACAAGAGGAATATCTTAATCTATTCTGGAAGACATAACGGATAATTATTATCAAAAACATGTCTTGTTACCTCTAATTGATCTTGAAGCAGACAAAAATAAGCACTACATTTACATAAACATGCTCTTTGTAAATTAAAAAATCCGTAAAAGTACTTAACTAACTACATCGATGGAACTAAAACTAATCTACGTTATTAAATACTATTTTGTGCGCGATTTAAACCAAATATAAAGTACATTTAACAAACTTCATATATTTTTCCACTAGATGTTATCTAACAATATCATCTTTGCACACAAATGAAGTGCTGTTGTTGCTGTTGTTTTGTTT